TATTTGTTCAGCCATGGACCCGCGAAGAAGTTTGGGGCTTGGCAAGCACGGTGATGGGAACGGCTCTGGTGACAGCAGGCGCACAGCCCTGAAGCGTCCACAGAGGGCCGTGCGTGGTGGTCGCTGTCGTATGACATTGAAAAGAAGGACCACTGCTCCACTGCAAGAGCATAAGGCTTTTATTTGCTCCAGAATGCTCTGAATTATTAAGCTTTTAAGCGCCTTTATATAGCATTTGCAGGTCAGAGTTATTTATTAAAGGCAGTAGTCTCACTGTGCTCCACGTCAAGGGCCCCATGTAAGCAAACTCACGGCTGTAAGGCAGCTTCGCTTTACAGGTAGAGACATTTAAAAATATACATGTGTCAATGAAGGAACTAACCGAAATCCAAAGTATGCTATTCAGAAAGAGTAGTCAGACACTTTTTTTCTGTAGGAATTCAGAATAACGTCAACTTGACAGTTTAAGCAAGATTGCAGGAAAAAATTCTAAAGAATCACAGACTCATTAAGGTTGGAAAAGACCTCTGAGACCATCGAGTCCAACCGTCAACCCAACACCACCGTGCCCACTAAACCTGGTGATAGACTCTTTTCTGTGCTCTTACAACTCATCACGAGGATAGGGCAAAACGTAATTAAAATGAAAAGAGCAGAAATTATTAATTATAAAGTGTATTTAAAGAGGTTCCCACATCATCAAGAGGAATAGGAGATGACAGGCGTAAGGAAAGAGCATTTGAAATACACCCGTTTGCTCGAGCAGTCATCACATGCTTCCGATCATAAGGGAGATGCAATCGGACTGCAATTGCCACTTGCAGAGTCATCTTGTTTTGGATCAGATTTACAACACAGCCCGAGGAATGGGAGACGATCTCAGTATCATCAAAAGGAAATGTCTGGTACTGACAGGAGCAGGATTATTAAAAGGCAGTCCATGCTAGAGGCAAATCTGATGATACTAGACCCATTCTTACTTTAACAAACCTGGACTTTGAAATTTTTTAAGTGCTTTTTTCCTGGGATCTGCTTTTATCCAATGCTAAAGTAAAATACAAGTAAGTGCTGGAGGGCTAGAAAAATGGCCGCTTTAAATGATGGTAATTCTAAGTCATAAATTCTGATCAGGTATGGCATTATTTTGTGATTTAAAAAGAAAAAAAATGCATTTAGAAGTGGAGTAAATAATTACTCTGTTTTGCACCTGATACCTTGTGGGATGAAGCTACTATCTTTTTCTCTTGAGACAACACTGGTTCTCAGACACTTGGGATACATTTAAGGAAATTTAGAATCGTAGAATACTTTGGGTTGGAAGGGATCTCTAAAGGTCACCTAGTCCAACCCCCCTGCCATGGGCAGGGACATCTTCAACTAGATCAGGTTGCTCAGAGCCCCCTCCAACCTGACCTGGAATGTTTCCAGGGGTGGGGCATCCACCACCTCTCTGGGCAACCTCTTCCAGTGTCTCACCACCCTCACAGTAAAAAAGGTCTTCCTCATATCTAGTCTAAATCTACCCCCCTTTAGTTTAAAGCCATTCCCCCTTGTCCTCTCACAACAGGCCGTGCTAAAAAGTCTGCCGCCATCTTTTTTATAAGCCCCCTTTCAGTACTGACAGGCTGCAATAAGGTCTCCCCAAAGCCTTCTCTTCTCTAGGCTGAAGAACCCCAACTCTCTCAGCCTTTCTTCAGAGGAGAGGTGTCCCATCCCCCTGATCATTTTTGTGGCCCTCTTCTGGACCCGCTCCAACAGGTCCGTGTCTTTCTTCTGCTGAGGGCTCCAGAGCTGGACACAGTCCTCCAGCTGGGGTCTCACCAGAGCAGAGGAGAGGGGCAGAATCACCTCCCTCGACCTGCTGGCCACGCTGCTTTTGATGCAGCCCAGGGTATGGCCGGCCTTCTGGGCTGCGAGTGCACATTGCTGGCTCATGTCCAGCTTTTCATCCACCAGTACCCCCAAGTCCTTCTTGGCAGGGCTGCTCTCAATCCCGTCATCCCCCAGCCTCTATTGATACTGGGGGTTGCCCCGACCCAGGGGCAGGACCTTGCACTTGGCCTTGTTAAACCTCATGAGTTTCACAGGGGCCCACTTCTCCAGCTTGTCCAGGTCCCTCAAATTTTTAAAATTCTAGTTAGAAACAAAATTCTTAAACTTCTGTGATAGATGTATTTTTATTTCTTTTACATGGGAACATAAAAGAAAATAGCAAAGGACCATGCTGTAACCATGGTGTTACTCCTATGGTTAAAACACACGTTTTAACCTCTGTGTATGCTTGAGGATCAAGAATTGAAGGCCCTTTTCGTTTGTGTCCACCCTGTTACTATTATTCATGTATGTAACAAAACCAATAGTTGCTGTAGAACTATCAAAAACTGCAGAACAAATAATGCCACTGATAGGGCTGGTCACATGAAGTATACCTGCCAGATCTTAGTAACAGACAGAAGAAAATGCCCAGCTAAGATGTGGTTTGAAACACGTACACCAAAATCACTCCCCTTTTAAACTGTGCAGACAGCGTAGGGTCCCGACAGTGGGTGCTGTGGGCTCTGCCCCTGCCCGAGGCTGCTGCCCGACCATCCGGGTGGTGGTGAGCAGGGCTGGGGCAGTGCCTGTGGGGGAGCCGCCTCAGGGTCCCCCCGCCAGCAGGAGTCACATTTTGGCTCGGGCCCTGTCCCAGCCC